TCAAGGAATAAATCTCACTTGGTCATAGTGTATAATCTTTTAAATATGTTGCTGAGTTCACTTAGTATTTTGTTGAGGATTTACGCATGAATGTTCATGAGATTTATTGTTTTGTTTGGTTTGGTTTTCTTATGGTGTCTTCGACTTTGGTATCAAGATAATTTTGGCCTCATAGAATGAGTTAGAAAATGTTCCCTCTTCCTCAGTTTTTGGGAAAACTTCAAGAAAGACTCATGCTATTTCTTCTTTATATGTTTGGTATAATTTACTAGTTAAGTCATTAGGATCAGAACCTTTCTTTGTCATATTTTTGATTACTGATTCAATCTCCTTACTTGTTATAGACTGATCCAGATATTCTCTTTCTTTGTGATTCCACCTTGGTAGAATTTGTGTTTCTAGGAATTAATCCATTTCATCTAGGTTATCCAACTTGTTGATGTACAGTTTTCATGTACATTCTTACAGTTCTTGCTTAGTGGAATCAGTTTTTTATTTTTTATTTTAGTTATTTGAGTCTTCTCTATTCTTTTTTGAAGTCACTTTACCTATGAGTTTGTCAATTTTGACCTTAAAGAACTAACCTTAAGTTTCATTGCTTTTTTTTATTGTTTGTATATTCTCTATTTCATTTATCTCTGTTGTGATCTTTATTATTTCCTTTCTTCTGCTCACTTTCGGTTTAGGTTGTTCTTTTCCTAGTTCCTTAAGTTGTTCATTTATAATCTAAATGACTTGATATCTTTCTTATTTTTTTTTAAGATTTTATTCATTGATTTGACAGACAGAGATCACAAATAGGCAGAAGCAGGCAGGGAGAGAGGGGGAAGCAGGCTCCCCACTGAGCAGAGAGCCCGATGTGGGGCTTGATCTCAGGACCCTGAGACCATGACCTGAGCCAAAGACAGAGGCTTAGCCTACTGAGCCACCCAGGCGCCCCTCTTTCTTGTTTTTCTTCTTCTTCTTTCTTGTTTTTTAATGTAAGCATTTATAGCTAAAAATTTCCCCTATAGCACCAGTTTTACTGCATCCTCTAGTTTTTTTTTTTTTTAATTTGACAGACAGATCACAGGTAGGCAGAGAGGCAGGCAGAGAGAGAGAGGAGGAGGAGGCAGGCTCCCTGCTGAGCAGAGAGCCCGATGCGGGACTCGAACCCAGGACCCTGGGATCATGACCTGAGCCAAAGGCAGAGGCTTTAACCACTGAGCCACCCACATCCTCTAGTTTTGATGTGTCATATTTCTACTTTCATTCATCTCTAAGTATTTTCTATTTTCCCTTGTGATTTCTCCTTTGATCTGTTGGTTGTTTAAGAGTATATTTAATTTCCACAAATTTGTGAATTTTTCTGTTTTCTTTTTGCTGGTTCATCTTTATCATGAGTGTTGTGTCTATTCTTGTTTTTTTTTGCATTTCTATATTTCTACACACATTTTAGAATGAGCTTATTAATTTTCACAGAAAACCCTGATGGGATTTGATTGGAATTGCATTGAAGAAATAGATCAATCTGTGATATTTCCACAACACTGAACCTTCTTATTCATAATTTAATATGCTTTGATAAAGTTTCTTTTCTTTTCTTCTCTTCTTGGGGAGGGAGTGAGGGTGTGTGGGGGGAGGGACAGAAGAAGGGAGAGAGAGAATCTCAAGCAGACTCTCTGCCCAGCATGGAGCCCAACATGGGGCTCGATCTCACAACCCTGAGATCATGACCCAAGATGAAATCAAGAGTTAGACACTCACCTGACTGAGCCACCCCAGGTACCCCAGTTTGACCATTTTCTTAAAGACATTTTGCACTTCTTTTGATAGACTTATTCCTAGGCATCTTCTAATATTTGTTGTTATTTTATACAGTGTCGTTTTTATTGCAGGGTCTTAATGTTTGTTCCTTGGTTTTAGAAATTCAGCTGACTTTTTCATTTATCTTGTATCCAGCAGTGTTGCTAAAAAATCTGTTGTTAATTGTAACAATTTTTGTGCAGTTTGTTTTAGTTTTTAATGTAATCAACCACATCAGCTGCAAATAATGCTAGTTTTGTTTCTTCCCTTTCAATATCTACTCTTTCATTACTTTTTTTGGCCTTACTGCTCTGGTCATTAACTTTAGTACAGTGTTGAACAAAAGATGCTAGAGTAGGCAACTTTATCTCATTTGTGATTTTTAAAAGAACATTTATAGTATTTTACTGTTGAGTATGATATTTGCTATGGATTTTTGATAATTATTTTGATTTTTTTGATATTTTGATTATTGAATGATTAAGGAAAATTTCTTATTTTTCTAGCACAGATAGGCAGAGAGAGAGAGAGAGAAATGAATGGTAGCTGGATTTTTAACAAATGCTTTTTCTGTATCAATTGAGATGATTATAAATGGTATTCTCCACTCCCTTTTCTTTTCTTCTGTCAATGTGGTGAATTTAAGCCTAGCTTGGTTATAACCATTCTTATAGACTTCTGGGTTTGGTTAGCTAATATTTTGTTCGGTACTGTTTCAAGTATGATAAAAAAGGACTGGCCTGTCCTTTTTCTTTCTTTTTCTGTCCTTGTCTGCCTTTGGCAAAGAAGTTTTCAAATGAACTGGAACAAGGTTCTTCTTTTCCACTGTCTAAAAAAATCTAAGTTTGAAAATATCTGTTTCCTGAATGCTTGATAAAACTCACCTATTAAATATCTTCTGAACCTATTTTTCCCCCTCTTTGGGGAAAATTTTTTGATTATTAATTATATTTGCTAATGGAAATGAGACTATTCTCTTATTCCTAACTTAGATTTTATACAATACTATGTATTGACATTTTTTTCGGTTTCTGTTTCTCTCTCTTCTAATTTCACTAAATTACTTCTTGGGACAAATCAACATGATTTTCCACCCATGAGAAAAGATATAAGAAAAAAGTGTTAACTTTCCTGAAATTAGAATTTGAGTACATATCTTGAATTATTAAGACTGATTAAATAGAGTAGATTGGGATTAACTGTGCTAATATATCAGTTCATGATAGTTAATCATGTATATAGTATTTATATACTATATAGTATTTATATACTATATGTATAATATTTATACTATATGTACTATTATATATAGTTATTATTATTATATACTATATATAGTATTTATTAAATTTATTTTTTACTTAAAAAATTTTTTAAAGAGTTATTTATTTAGTTGACACAGAGAGAGAGACAGAGAGGTAGCACAAGCCAGGGAAGAGGGAGAGGGAGAAGCAGAAGCAGGCTCCGCACTGAGCAGGGAGCCCAATGTGGGGCTTGATCCCAGGACCCTGGGATCATGACCTGAGCCGAAGACAGATGCTTAACAACTGAGTCACCCAGGTGCCCCCCTTTATTAATTTCCTAAATATTATTTAATCAGAATAATTCTTCTCTATCCATACTTGAAAATAGAGGGTACAAGGATGAAAACTAAAACCTAACCTGAAAGTACTGCACTTTTAATATAAAATTTTTGGAAAGTTTATATCAAATCAGTCAATAAGAAATCAAAATATCTAAAATATCTGCGTTAAAGACTGAAAAGTCTTCCTAATTTCTTCCTGATTTAGCACATAAGTCTGTAAGTCTACAAAGGTTGTGAATGATAAGACAGGGTAAGAACCCAACTTATTTAAGTATTAATTCTTCAATATGGCAAAGACAAATGAAGAAACACAAAAACTCTAGAAGAAAATATAGGAAAACTATGAGAAAGAATGAAATTTTGCCCTTACCAGGAATACCTTGCTTCCTTTACCATAATCACAATTTCATTCTTTGCCCAAATTTTTTTATTACAAACCTGTTTGTTAAATCGTTATTTGAGGGGCAAGAACAATCAGTTATGACCTGGGGAGACTGATTTACTGAGGCTCTGGTTCTGTCACAAATATGCATTCTCCCTTTCTGTATGGATTTTTTGTAACTATGTCAACCCTGCAGCATTGTATATTATTTGTCGTTTGCCACTTTTTCTAATTTTCTGAAAACTACCAGAGGTGTACTTTCCCCTCAAGGGATTTGGAAGGAGAACACATATCTAAATATGGGTAGGGGAAGGTTGAGGTGAGAAAGTTCAGGGTACTAATTTGGGAATCAGAAGACTTAGAGTCCACTCACAATTCTACTACTAATTATTTCTGAGACTACATAAATTAACTTCTTATCATCTTGTTTACTTAGTCCACAAACGATTTGGTAATCCATAATGGATTTGGCAATTCTTGATCCTCTTATAGCTAACATAATTTCAATAGTTCTAAAAGTGGATCTTTCAAAACTTATGCCATTAACAAGTGTGATTTAAAATTAAATTTCTAGGGGCGCCTGGGTGGCTCAGTGGGTTAAAGCCTCTGCCTTCGGCTCAGGTCATGATCCCAGTGTCCTGGGATTGAGCCCAGCATTGGGCTTTCTGCTCAGCAGGGAGCCTGTTTCCTCCTCTCTCTCTGCCTGCCTCTCTGCCTACCTGTGATCTCTGTCTGTCAAATAAATAAATAAAATATTTTTAAAAAATTAAATTTCTGAGAGACTATGGACTCTGAAAAACAATCTGAGGGTTTTGGAGGGGCAGGGGGTGGGACGTTGGGGGATCCAGGTCGTGGGTATTGGAGAGGGCACGGATTGCATGCAGCACTGGTTGTGGTGCAAAAATAATGAATACTGTTATGCTGAAAAAATAAAAAATTAAAAGAAAAAAAGAAAAAAAATTAAATTTCTAAAAGTTGTGCAAACTGACAAATATTCAAAACTAAAGCCCAAAGTAAGAAAAATATCCTGACTATGAAATTACTTATGGTTTAGGAACAATAATTCTGCCGACATGTCTTGTTTATTCAGTTGAATGATCTAAACAGTTTATCAAAATCTCCTTAGTTGTCGTCGTGGTTTGCAGGATGAAGAAGAATGAAATTGTATGGGTTTCTATTTTATTAGAATTGTATTTTGGATCCAAATAGTTGATAATGATTTATGTCTTTCCATTTTTCCTATTACAGGGTGGCTTCACTCGTAAATATTCACTAAGTTCAAAAACTGGAACACTTCTTCCAGAATTCCCTAGTGCTCAACACCTTGTGTACCAAGGATGCATTTCTAAAGACAAGGTATCAATTAAAGATACTTCTCTATTGATTTTCTGATATATTGGTTCCATATCTCAATTTGCTGGGAATCTCATGGCACTTGCAGGAAGCAGTCAGAAATCTGCATAATCAAACATAATTGACTGATTTATAGGAGGGACAAATGTTTACTAACATTGATTAAACACTTTCCAATTAATTATTTACCATCTCCATGAAAATATGTAATCAGAAGTTGGTAAAATAAACCTCAAAAGACTATAGTGTATTTTTTATTTAAAACTCAGTATCGAGGAAGGAAATATCACATACAATTTCTTTAATTATAAGCTTTATGTTTTAATTAGCCTCCTATCATTTCAGTAAACAGTCATCAGACACTTCCCTGGGACAGAATTTATTCCAAGCATTGAGGGGGAGATATCTGGATGAATGCAAGCACTATACTAGAAGTGGGCAAAGATTCCTTTCCATTAGAAAATTCTGTGCTCGCTATATATTTCCAATTTTTTTGAAAGTTAAGGAAGAAACAGTTTCATAGGCTTCAGTTCATAAATAATCCTCACTGTGACTTTTCGGTGCTTAAATAGTAAAATCTAAAGATGCATCCTCCTCTATTTCTGGACTTCTAAAGTCATTTTCTAAGTATCTACTGAATGACTAACAGCTCCTGCTATTAGTATTAAACCAGGACAAATGCTTTTTGCATTCTTCTTTCAACCCAAGTTAATTTGTTGTTAGTACTTAAGAAAAATATCTTTTTAAAAAACATTTATTTACTTATTTTATAGAGAGAGAACGTGCACAAGCAGGGCGGGAGGGGCAGAGGGAGAGGGAGAAAAAATCTTAAGCAGATTCTGCACTGAGTGGCATTCCGGTGGGTGGGGCCAGTCCTGGGGCCGATCTCACAATCCTGAGATCATAACCTGAGAAGAATCCAAGAGTCAGACATTTAACCGACTGTGCCACTCAGGTGCCCCTTAAGGAAAACATCTTATATATATATGTTAAGTCAGTTCATATTCTTGAGATACAAAGATAGCACCTCAAGAGGAGTATGAGTAACTAATGTCCAACTGGATTACATTAGTAGTGGGCTTTCTGTGGAAACTGGCAATAAAATAACATATTGATAAAAAGATCTATTGACAGATAAGTAGAGATGCACAGTAACTTCCGGGGCTCATTCTGACGACCTACTCTTCTTGTTAAGAACAGGCAAAATATTGAAGATAATTCTCACATGCTGATTCCAAGCAAGTCTCCTGAAGTGTGTCCACTTTGTATCATTCTCTCCCATCACGTTTCTCAAGGTTGTCACATCATTTTCTCAAGGTTATCACTTTATGCCCCTGCTTTTTTTATAGATGTTATTTGATATTATGACTTCAGTAAATGCTAACATATGGCAGTCTGTGGGGAAACCTGTGGAAATCAGTGACGTTCCAGGGAACATGGTTCTTTGGGGAGGGTATTGTTGGATCCCCCGTGTGGAGAGAATTGCTTACATGCAAACATATCATGAAGATGTTTGCTGTGTCAATATTCCTGATGAGACAGATGGGGATGGGGAGAGGAGCAATGAAAAAAGAGAAGTGAGGACATCTTCAAGTAGTTTCTTTCAGTTTCTCTGCTAGTCTCCAAGGAATTCCTTCCTGTCAACTTAAAAAAACTGGTAAATCATTTCTCACTCAAGTATCAGGATGCTTAAAGAACCCCTGGTTTCTAAGGACATTCCCAGTGGTCCTCATCATGAGCACCAGGGACTAACACTTCTCTTTGTCCCTTGAAGACAGCTGGACCCTGCTTTTTACCCTCTTAGCCAGTAGCCAAGTTCCCCAGGTAACTTGTCAGTTTCTAGCAAGAGGGGTGGGACTGAAGTGAAGCACTTTATGCCCCTGCTTTCTTGAAGCAGAAAGGATGGGCCTTCCCAGGGAAAAGTTGATCCCAGTGAGGTGGGGGTTAGCTGAAGCCAAGGGGCCACTTTCTGCCTCATCATGGTGTCACTCAAGGCAGTTGCCCGCCCCCACCCAACCACATACTCACTAACTTCTCTCGAGACAAACCTCTATCTTTCATACTGTCTTTATCTTTACTTTTAAACATGAGTCTTGGCAACCTATATAAAAATGTAATATCATTGCCTAAAGGATAGAGCTTGTCTCAGTTGCATCAATGGTGACATATTCTGCTAGAGGCATCCTGTAGTCAGCATACAGTTAATCTCCTTGCAGGGAGATTAACAATTTGCACATCGCTGTGATAGAGCCTTGAGCTACACCACAGGGATGTGTGCTGTCACTAGGCTGTAGGGATAAAGGCTGGAGAGCAGGTTAGAGTAAGACACTGCCATCACCATCACCATGTTGGGATAAAAATAGCTCCAGCAGTCAATCTCTCAACATGTGTTATGGATTATTCCAACCACCTTGTTTGTGTTAATTTGTTTAGTCCTCATACAGCCCTATTAGAAATTTACTGTTATTATCATCTCCGTTTTTCAGATGAGGAATTTAGAACACACAAATGTTACGTGGCTCCCTTGACATCCTATAGCTAGTGAGTGAGAGATCAGAGCTGGTACTCAAACCCAGGTAGTCCATGGGCACACTTCTAAGCTTAGCTTTGTTTGTTGAAGTATTATTTAGTAATAAACCATTGTGGATTTTAGAATATATTTACAACTTTTAGCTATGCTATCCAAATGTCTGTGGTAACATGGAAACAGAGACTCTTCCTAATAGACACTCACCATTCAGATCTTTCTCGGGTACATTTTTGAGTCATTTGCTCTTACTAATTTCAGATAATATTTAGTAAGATCTTACTGTGTACCAGGCACTGCTCTATGTGCACCATATCTTTTTGAATCTGGGTAATATATTATTTGTCCTATTTAAGACAAAAAGCTCAGAGTTCAGAGAGCATCCTGTGCACAGTAGGGCGGGGGAACTGGGCACTCAATTTTAGCTGACCCCACCACCCACACTGGAAACCACTAGGCCACACTGCCCAAGCACCCACTTATTACAACTGTATGAAGAGGTGATATATTTCACCATTTTATGTTTATTCCTGCAACCAAAGATAATCTTTTTTTTTTTTTTTAAAGATTTTATTTATTTATTTGACAGACAGAGATCACAAGGAGGCAGAGAGGCAGGCAGAGAGAGGGGACAGGAAGCAGGCTCCCCGCTGAGCAGAGAGCCCTATGAGGGGCTCGATCCCAGGCCCCTGGGATCATGACCTGGGCCCAAGGCAGAGGCTTTAACCCACTGAGCCACCCAGGCGCCCCCAAAGATAATCTTTTTACTAGGTAGAAAAACACAAGGTTGCCTTGGCTCACAGCTCCCTGCACAGTCACCCTTTTCATTGTTCACATTACGCTATGCTCTAAGTGTTGGTTTGCTTGCCTTTCTCCCTTCACAAGGCTGTAAGCTCCTGGAAATAAGAACCATGCCTTTGGTTTTGATTCCTCGACATTGAGCACAATGCCTGGTACATAACAGGAGCTTAAAAAAATGCATGCTGAATAAATGAATGAACCAATGAATGCATAAACAAATGAAGGTGGGGTTGAAAGGACTCTTTGGTTAAGCACTGTCTTCCTTGAAATAGGTTGATACCCTCATAATGATGTATAAAACTCACTGCCAGTGCATCCTGGACAATGCAATTAATGGAAACTTTGAAGAGGTAAGGGTGACAAAGAATGCTTCACTGATCATTATTGTCCTGTTTTTTATGAGTTCACATTAAGAAATAATTTTAATGTATATACTTTTTGCTTTATAACTAGATCCAGCATTTCTTATTACACTTTTGGCAAGGAATGCCTGATCATCTTCTTCCCCTGCTTGAAAACCCTGTTATCATTGACATTTTCTGTGTTTGTGACTCAATTCTTTATAAGGTAAGCTCTTTAGGGTGTCTTAAACACAAACAGTGTATGTTTTAATGAGCATTGTGCCTACATTTTTCCATTTTATTTACAACAAATTTGTTATTTCTGGCTGGAGATACAATATTTTTTTTCTGATGAGAAAGCATATTTAATAAGTATGTATTTTAATGTACATTTACATGAAAACAAAATTTCTGTTTACATTTAAGAATGATTCTAAATGTCCTATAGTTACTAATAATACATGAAAACTTAGTTAATTTTTAATAACTGTTTAAGGTGTTCTCAGAATTAATAGCATAATGGCTTTTTCACTATTGGTGTTCTGGGGGAAAAGCAGATTGAAGCACCCTTGTGGGATTAACACCCTAAAAATACTGGAAATCTCTAGCTTTAATGTATTAGCATTGATTTCTGTTCTCAGACCAAATAAAAGTCTGCAGAAGGGTCATGAAGACATCATGAACCAAGATGAGCTGGTTGGCCTTCTAGCCAAACATTTATCTGGGAAGATGGAGACACTAATTCCCTGGTAGTGTGTCCCCTAGTTAGAGCAACAGTAAGGTCCAAGCTGAGGGAGAAAACTGCATTTCAACCTGGGTAAAGTTGTTTGGACTGTCATTCAGTACCTCCAAGAAATATCCTTAAAGCATATTCTTTTTTTATTTTCCTTTCCAAATGGTCTGTTTTTTTTTTTTTTCATCCAACACAAAAGTCCTAAGTTTAAGGACCTTTAAATGTACTAAGTTTCCCTCCTCATGGGGTTCCTAGGGAGGCACAGTAGAACGAGTTTCTGCAGTACCTTCATTCCATCTCTAAGGAGGGGTCAGCTTTCAGTCTATAAAACAGCACATGATTACCAAGGTCAGTTCATTGGTAACTAACTTATTGGGCATATACATTACTGTCGCATACACATGGAATACATGTGCATTTTGCTTCTAGGACACACAGGCCTTTGTAGATTAGTGTCTGCCCAAATTTTAAAATACGTTTTCTCTAGATCTCTTGGTCATCTTTGTCAGGCTGGACCACTCAGTTTATCAGCCAGCTCTGTGGATCTGCTTTGTCCGTATCCTATTTGGTCCCCACTTCCTTAGTCTAATTTTTCCTGAGCTGGGATCAGTCATCTCTATCTAATTTCTTCTTTCTACGAGTTCTCATTTAGGTCCTATTCATCTTGTCCATGTTTAGGGCTTAGTCTAGCCCTTCCTTTCAATACTCTTTCTGTTCTGATAATTAACTCTCTGGACCCAGTATAGCAGTGTTACTTACTTAACCTAGTATTGTAATGTTTCTAGATCCCCACCCTGCCTTTCTTTCTCTCTCTCTCTCTCTCTCTCTCACACACACACCTCACACACACACACGTTCATATTAGAGATAAAAATATAACTTCCAGAAATGAGTTAATATATCATTTTCTAGAAAACTAGGAATACAAAGTAATTGACAAATAAGTGTCTTTCTATGAAAATATTAAGTAAGGATTTATGTTAACTCTCTTTTGCTGTGATTAAGGTTCTTACAGATGTTCTCATTCCTGCAACAATGCAAGAAATGCCTGAAAGGTAGGTTCAGTCAATAAAACATGGTAATTTCTTAGTGTAGGGTTTAACCCTATCCATCATATTAAAGGAAAACATTAAGTAGAAATTCATTTGTTTATCAAGATTACTTGCCTGTTCCTGTCCCTTTGTAGTAGCTAGGAGATGTGCCTCAATCCTTATATTGAAACCTCAATGAACAAAATTGATGGAACCATCCTGAAATCCTTTTAATAGAATGATACCCAAGTGAAAAATAAATATTTAGGTGTCATTGACCTTGAAATAGTGAGAAAGTTTTTCAATGGAAACTGGCTAAAGGAATGTAAGTGGGGGTAACTGGTGGAAAATAACCACAATGATAAAAATTAAAGAACTATTTTATCTTTATTATTAACTTCGGTCTTAATTACAAAATCGTAAGGTAGCATAACAGAACTACTACCTTCTTTTAATGAAGATGTATCTTCATGTGTCTTTTGATCCCTTTCACCCATTTTGCCCCCACCCCTGGGGACCCCCATCCTCTCTGGCACCTGATGACAGATGGTAACTAGACTATTGTGGTGACCAGTTCACATGTATACAAATATCAAATCACTATGTTATACACATGAAACTAATATAATGTCAATTATACGTCAGTAAAAACATCTCAAATTGAAATGACACCTGAAGATTTTTCATAAAATCTTTCTGATGTGTGAATAATAAAAACTTGAAAATAAAAAGCCAAATTTTTCTTTGTAAACAATGTCTAATGAAAAAGTGAAATTTATTTTCGTATTTTGGAGCACAAATACATGTCAGATGAACATAGTTGATTCTCAATAAATGCATGATGATTGATAAAACAAATGTTTTTATTTACTTTTTCCTCTAGATAGTTTTATTTATTTATATAGTAGCTGGTATTGTTCTAATCAATAGTTTCTTTTAATTATCAATGTGTAACCTTTAAACATCTAGTCTGAGCGCTGAATTAAGTACTCTTAACCCCTCTATGTCACAGAGGCACCTGGGTGGCTCAGCCAGTTAAGCATCTGCCTTCTGTTCAGTTCATGATCTCAGGGTCCTGGGATCGAGTCCCACATTGGACTCCCTGCTCTGACTCTGCCCTGCTCATGTTCAGTCTCTCTCTCTCTAGAATAAATAAATCAAATCTTAAAAAAAAAACAAAACAAAACACTTCTACGTCGCAGCAGAATGGCTGCACCTAATGGCAGACATCCGGCCATGAAACTGATCTAATAAATAATAGCTGGCGTTTTTTAAACACGTCATTGATTTGAGACTACCTAAATTATTTCACTTAACTCCTCCAACCACCTGAAAATGATTATTTATGTATTTATCTCTTAAGTATGCAACTGGTTTTTTGTAGAAAATGAAAAACATGCACAAATGCATTTAAAAAGCTCTCATAATCTCTCCACATTCTTAATGTATTAGGTTATTATTTCGTAGACTTTTTTTCTAAGAGTATCTGTAAATAGACACATTTTTAAAAAAAGGAACCATGGTATACATACTAGTGTGGTATGCTGTGAAAATCTTTCATATCAAATACAGATCAGCATTATCTTTTTAAATGGTTGCATAGATTTCTAGCACCTGAAAAATACTATACTTAATTTAACCTATTCCTTATCATTGAACACTTGGATTTTTTTTAAAACACAACTTGTCAGACTATTCCCCAGTAGCTATTATGATCCCATATTCACAAATGAGGAAACTGGCAACAGAAGGAATTAATTTATTTGCCCAGAATCGATGAATTTATAAGAAGGAGAGCCACGATTTTAATTGAGAGCTCTTGAACTTCACTTCTGTTCTTTCTCCTGTATGATGTTACTGCTTACCAGTATGTGTGCCATCCCAAATGTAAATTTAGCTGTCCTTTATTGGGATATAGTGTGTAGATGGTTACTGGTTTTTAAATTTTTGTTTGTTTTTGTTTAAATGTTTGTGTATATGCACAACCAACATTTGCAATTTTCTAAATAGGGTCCTATAGTAGATTTTCAATGATGTATCTCACGGTTATATTTGGACTATCAGAATCGGTTACTAGAAACTAATAGTAAATATTTGAAATGGCACTATGATCCCTTCGTGATGTCTCTCAGGAAGCTGTTGAAATCAAGATGCATACTTATATTTCCCCAGAAATATTTTATAGAAAATGACTGAACCGTGAGCTAATGTTAATAAGGTATTATTTATTGATTACCCTCTGCATACAAGGTTTAACAAGAGAAATTTCCATGAATTATTTTATAAAAATCCTCATAACAATCCTGTGACAAAAATACTAATCTTATTCCTATTTAATAGATGAAACCAGAGCTTGAGGAGACTGACTATTTTGACCAAGGAGATCATGGCAGACCTAGGCTTAATCTATCCGAGTTTGAAGTCATGTTCTTGAAATCATAGAATAACAGTATACCTCCATTAAACTACATTTATGTAATGCATTTTGAACAATTTAGCATTTAATACATAGGCTTTTTGTGTGTGTGTGTGTTTTTGTGTGTGTGTAGCTTATTAGCAGATATAAGGAATTTTGCTAAAAATTGGGAACAGTGGGTTGTTTCATCCTTGGAAAACTTGCCAGAAGCTCTAACCGATAAGAAGATACCTATTGTGCGAAGATTTGTATCGTCCCTGAAACGACAAACATCTTTCTTACACCTTGCTCAGGTATGCTGGTATTTGGTCACCAAATTTAAAAAAATGAATTATCTGATAGCAGAGTAAGAAATTTTCAGAGATTGGAGATCAAGTAGGCAACAGTTAAATGCAATATGAGATACCAGAGTTTATGCTAGAACAGAAGAAGGACATTAGTGGAAAAATGGATGGAAATTTGAATTACTACCAGTGTTGTAGCAGTGTTAATTTCCTGATTTGGGCAATAAACAATGCTTAGGTAAGAGGATAATATTAGGAGAAGCTGAATAGGGAGTATATGGAAATATTCCGCACTATCTTTGCAGCTTTTTTATAAATTTAATATTATTTCAGAATAAAAAGTAAAAAAGACACGAAACTTCTGAATGCAGTATAAAATGAAAAACTGTTATTTGCTACATGAATCCAGTTAATAAAAATTAAGGTTGTGGGGACTGCGCCCATGTGGTATTTGATATTGTGAAATCCACAAACAACACATGTTAAGCTATCAACTAATTTGGGTCTCTTAAATAGGGAGAAAAAAGTAATTCTTAAATTACTGTTTGTATATTGTTAAAATGTATTTCCTCTCCCCCCAGATAATTGTTTGCTTTGTCAAAGTTTCTAGTCCCCTAAATTTTAAAAGACCTGGTTGTGATAGTTCCAGATAAGAAATGTAACCCTGTGAAATCCTTATTATGTAACCATGGATTAAAAAATTCATTTTCTAGGGGCACCTGGGTGGCTCAGTGGATTAAAGCCTCTGCCTTTGGTTAAGGTCATGATCCCAGGGTCCTGGGATCGAGCCCTGCACTGGGCTCTCTGCTCAGCAGGGAGCCTGCTTCCTCCTCTCTCTCTGCCTGCCTCTCTGCCTACTTGTGATCTCTGTCTGTCAAATAAATAAATAAAATCTTCTAAAAAAATAATTTCCTAGTTTCAAAAATAGTTTTCAAAGCTTTAACAGAGATGATCATGAGTCTCAGCTATTGTTTTTAGTTTTAAAATAAGAAAACATTCCTGATACTCTTTTCTCAAGGAACTATTTCTCCAGTAGCCAAAACTTTCCTTTAGATAGACCACCGATAATATGATTTAGTGTCTTTATACTTTCTTCACGCAGATTGCCAGACCAGCTCTCTTTGACCAGCATGTCGTGAATTCCATGGTATCTGATATTGAAAAGGTTGATTTGAATAGTATTGGATCACAGGCCCTTCTCACCATTTCTGGCAGCACAGACACTGAATCTGATATCTACACGGAATGTAAGTTTTCCCTCTGTTTAGAGCTGGGTCTCCCAGCTTTGGTTCCATTGACATATTGGGCTGGATAACTCTTTGATGGAAGTGGGAGTGGGAATCCCCTTAGACCAAAAAATAACTGAGAAAAATTGGTTTTTAGAAAGTTTTTTAATTAAAAGAAATTGTCCTCTACTTGAAAACAATTGTAGGTACAGATTGTGGAAAACCTGGAAAATATAGAAAATATTAAAAGGAAAATAAAAGCCACTCATAATCTCATTGCCAAGAAATAACCTGGAAATAGTGGAAATGTTTTTGAGTGCTGTGAGTTTTCTTCCAGATTGTTTGTTTGTTTACATTTATTTAAGATTTTATTTATTTATTTTTCAGAGACAGAGAATAAGCACAAGCAGGGGGAGCGGCAGGCAGAGGGAGAAGCAGACTCCACACTGAGCAGGGAGACTGATGTGGGACTTGATCCCAGAACTCTGGGATCATGACTTGAGCCAAAGGCAGATGCTTAGCCCACTGGGCAACCCAGGCATCCTGGTTTTCTTTCAGTTCTACGTTACATGCATACACACTTCCCTGTGTTTTACACTCTTAGCCTCATATGGTATATGACGCATATCAAAATGATATTTCAACATAATACTGTTTTTCAAAGCAGAAATTCCCTGCCCAGTTTTGGACAATCCGACAAAATTTACAAGGGCAATATGTGTGACTAGACAACTAGGCTCTGTCTCCCAGGGATAGCAAACCACTCCTTCCCCACTGTCTTTCTCTGAAAAGGCATGTGCACCCTCCAATAGGCTGTTGTACAAATGATCGACTGCTCTCTGGGGTGGTCCAACTTCAGCTTTGTTTTCTGTTTCCTAGCAAAGATTATATTACCCTTGGGGATTCAGTAAGCCTCAAACTCTTTAATAAATGATAGTCCTAAATGGCCCCTTTAACTTTTACAAGATAAAAGATTCTTCATGTAAGTGGCTCAGTTTTACAGTGAAAAATTTAATTTTCACTAAAAGTAAAGGATAGGTCAGAAAGCAGGAGATCAACTAGTTTAGCTTAGCTCATTCATCAGTTTTCAATGAATCTGTTGCATTTAATGAAATCTTCGGATTCAGAATCAATAATCAGCTATAAATGACAACTTATTCTTCCCTAGTATATACATACTTATATAATACACAAGCTTTTATTCCAATTTGTACCAAGAGACCTAAAATTATTATTCAAATTTTGAAGAGTAAATAGCTAAGGATGTTTTTGTTACTTACTCTCAGGATATGAAATAATTCTTTTAACATATTTAATTTCATCTGTCTTTTCCTTTTATGCTATAGAATTCTTAATGATTTCTAGCTTCAGGTTTTCTCTTGGGTTCAAAATAGAATAATATTGTGGTTTTTTTTTTTTTTTTTAATATGGTAGATGACTCTATCACAGTGTTCCAAGAACTGAAAGATCTTCTTAAGAAGAATGCCACTGTGGAGGCTTTTATTGAATGGTTGGATACTGTAGTAGAGCAGAGAGTTATTAAGGTATGTTTCAATTGATTCACAAAACAGAATTTTTAGTAGTAAATGCTAACCTGGCTGTAATTTCTTGCATGATGGGGGAGGGGTGATTGTGTGTAAAAATGCTTTGAATCACATTTGAAGACTTGCAAATAAGGTGACTCAAATATCAAAATTAGGTACAGGCCAGATTTGAGAGTGTCAGGCATAGATTCAGTTCTATTTACCATTTCTTGACAAAGGACTACAAGGCATTATGCCTTCTCTGTCAGTCCATAAAATTAACAGCGGAGTAACATCAATAGTGAAAGACAAACACTGGGAAGATTTGGCCCTTTTCGAAAAAGTAAATTTTCATAAATGCTGACAGAAAGTGTGGTTTGAAGTGTTTCCATTTTTTAATTCTGGGAGCGCAGTATTTTGTGTTTTCTATGTTTTTTCAACTCTTTCTGAGAACGTGCAAGTCATCCATCATGAAACAAGGCAGTAAGAGCAAATAGATCCATCACTAGTTGGTGTTAGCCATGTCCTGTCAAGGAAACTAGTTGTAGAGTAGGGACTTTTTTTTTTTTTTCTCTCCTGGAAGAAAACAGATTATCATTCAGGAGCAGCGAAGTTAGAGTTAATCATTTACAGAAATATATAACCCTCTTTGACACTTCACCTTCTGTTCTTTTTTGAAGTTCTGTCAAAGGAAAATGAGACAAAATATTTTTTATTCACAAAAATACCTTGTGAATTATTTTATTTTGTTGTCCAATTCTGTTAGGTAACAAAACCATACGGAATAAAGATCTATTAGCCTTAAAAATGACAACAAAGGCAGACAAACATTAAAATCCCTGGACAGGTCATTATATCTGATAAAATAAATTGCATGTCATGCCATCTGTCCATTTGTCAGACAGCTTCTCAACCTCTTGATTTTACGTAGGACGCATATAGTAACGAGATGGCGGATTTTACAGTTTCGTTTTGTTCCTTTACTTGTAGACCAGCAAACAAAATGGAAGATCGTTAAAGAAGAGGGCTCAAGACTTCCTGCTTAAGTGGAGCTTTTTTGGTGCTCGAGTAATGCATAACCTCACCTTGAACAATGCATCCAGTTTTGGTATCTCATGTCCTTTATAAAGCTCTTCCTCCCTGAACACATCATTCACTCTCCAGTCATAGTTCCTGTTGGTTTTTAAACATGGGGCACTGTCACTTCTCAGATCTGATTATTGAGCCAATAGACAATGGTAGTAACGACCCTGGCTTGTGGAGTCAGACCACAAGCAGTTAAATCCTAACACTGCTTCTCTCTGGCTTGGTTTTAACCCAAGCTGCCTCTGCTCACTGTAAAGGGGATGAATATTTATAGCAGCATTACCAACAAGAGCCCAACTATGGAAAGAGGCTGAATGTCTATTGACTGATGCATGGATGGAGAAGACGTGGTCTGTATACAATGGAATATTGCTCAGCCATAAAAAAGAATGAAATTTTGCCATTTGCTACAATGTGGATGGAGCTAGAGTGTATTATGCTGAGTGAAATGTCAGTCAGAGAAAGACAGATATCATGATTTCACTCATGTGTGGAATTTAAGAACTAAAACAGGTGAACATAGGGGAAAGAAGAAAAACAGAGAGAGTGAAGCAAACCATAAGAGACTCTTAACTATGGAGTGTTCTTAACTATAAAGCAACTGAGGGTTGCTGGGGGGAGTGAGGTGGGTGAGGATGGGCTATACGGGGGATGGGTACTATGGAGGGCACCATGTGTTGAATATTAGGTGTTATATGTAAGTGATGAATCACTGAATTCTACTCTGAAAACCAATATTACACTGTATCCTAACTAACTAGATTTTAAATAAGTACTTGAAGCCCTTAAAAAAAGGGAGGATGAATATTCCTCTTACTGGGCTGTATGGGCATTTTAGTGAGATGATATTCATGAAAAAAGCAGAGTCTAGTACCCGTTGAACACTTAATGAATAGCAGCTATTATCATTACATCCCATCAGTACCTTTTTGTTGTTAAACAAGCAAGTAAACAATAATTAGTACATTATTTTCCAAAGACACTATTCATTGCAGTATGGCAAATTTTTCATCTTTTCCAGGAACCCCATAGGTGCACTCCAAGAATCAAAGAGCAGCTGAGAAGACATGCTCTCATATGTTTCTGAAACATCTTTCCTGATCAATTTGACTTATGAAACAAATTGAGTCAAGTTAGCTTTTTCAAAAACTGAAAATCTTCGTTTTCCTAAAATTTCTGGGACTCTGAGTTTTGCAGCCATAATGCTAGCTCGTGGGCAGCACTTCTGCATTGAGTAGTTGCTTTTCGAGAAATCTTCATATTATAAATAGGTTATAATTAACTAGGTTGTTTTTATTTAATTCTCAGTGGAATTAGATAAAATCAGTTAACTTGCACTGAGGGATGAACAAAATGTCTTGAGCCTTTTATTTGAAATCTCTTGCTTATATGTAAGGTTCCTTAAAATATACAACATTGAAGCGTGACTTTATGATGAAACCAGCCTTTTGCTGGGAAGCCTGTGGAATAGTTCAAAGAAGTTTAAGGTTTTCCAGGACAACTTCCAAATGAAAATGACTCTTTTGCTTTTGTCCAAACGAAGGAGAACTTTGTTTCAGGCTAGAAAGACATCTTACTTGGTACTTTTTTTCAGACCCTAGTGGTCATTGTCTAATTATTTAGTACAAAGTAAACAGAAATAGAGCAGAGTAGAGCTCATTCTCCCCAGGCTAAAGCTTATCACACTCCAGTGTGTGCCCTCTTAAAGCATAAAGCATGTCTCACTTTCATCCGTATTTTCCTTTGATGTAATTAGTGGCCAAAGAGCTGGCAGGACAGTACACACAGTAAGCTGGGCAGGCAGTACACAGAAAGATTAGAGACTCAAGTTAAGCATGTTGGTCTTAGCAGGTCATTTAAAGTCCAACAAGTATTTGTTGATTTCAGTTGCTCCTTGTAAAGTGTTGTGAGATGGTCACAAAGATAACTCGACCTCTCTCTCTCTTTCCTTCTCCTTCTCTCCCTCTTTTCATCTGACATTGCCCTCTTCCCATTCCCATCCACAAACAAGGTTCTTTCCATTTGATCCGAATGCTTCTTGATGAATACATTCTCCTTGCCATGGAGACCCAGTTCAATAATGACAAAGAGCAGGAGTTACAGAATTTACTGGACAAGTATATGAAGAATTCAGGTAATTTAAAAGTATATCTTGCTTTGCATGTTTCTTTCTTTAAACCTAAATTCAAGAGTTTATAAGTACATGTGTTGTGGGTCTGTAAACACCTCAGAGGTTTCTTTTCCCAAGCATGTCACAAGTAACACAGGATGGTAACACTAATTGAAACACTATTTTTTTCTCTCCACTATTTACACATAGAGTAGTCAGGGATTTTACTGGAAGTTCTGGAGGATAGTAAATGGATGTTCTTGTGAGAATTTAAATGAAGGTGGTGAGGTGATTATAATAAAAAATAACCGTAATTTGAGACAACACCTGTGGTATACCACCTTATAAATGGCATAGATATAAGTTCTATAGGAATTTGGAGAAGGAAGAGAACATGTCTATTTGGGATGTGATGACTTGCACTTTGAAGACTGTCCACTCCAGAGTGGATTCCTTAGTGTCCCCTCAGAACACACCTCACACTCACAAAGGTACAGATTACAATGACCACAAAACCCCAGCACCACTGCCACAACCCAAGATCTGCCAGCCTTGGTTCCCATGGAAGATATCTTCTGGAGTTTCCAGATTTATGACATAACCCTAAAACCTTTTCAGTTCCCTTTTCTTGGGCTCCTTTATTAGGAATATGGGAATGATGTTAGATTTTCCATTAAAAAAATCTTTCCAGATGCAAGTAAAGCTGCCTTCACTGCTTCTCCAAGTTCATGCTTTCTGGCCAATCGGAATAAAGGGAGCACTGTTTCCAGTGACACCGTGAAGAATGAAAGCCATGTGGAAACAGCCTATCTTCCTCTGTCATCCAGCCATCCTGGAGGCTTACCCTCTGCTCTTCCCCCATTCCCTGCTGGGACTACAGACACCATGCCACTCCCAGGTACACTATGGGACACTGAAGCTTCACGCCATCTCTCATGAGGCTGTTCCTTTGTTTTCTTCAAACTTGGTAACATCCAGCCATTCCAAGGATTAAAAAAGGCTTGTCTTAACTTTTCTTAAAGCTTTATATTTTTGTGACTTTTTCAGCATTTGTCATTCACACTTTTATCAATACCATTATGAACATAGATACCACACTGTGATGTGCTCACTTAGCTATGCTGGAAATACTTAGTTATTTTCATTTAGTAGAAGAAAAAATTAGATTTGTTATATATAAAATCTTGAAGATGCTTTGAAAGTCAAAAAAATGGTCTTCATATTTATTTTTGAGTTTATGTCTCCTCCACTAAAAAGTAGATATGGCCATTTTAGGATAACCATTACAATAATTTTCCTCTTTGGTCTAGAGCTCCCTTTGTGTACATCTGAATGCTTAGTGGCTTGGCTTGAACTCATTACTAGATACTATTTTAAGTCTGTTTCTTGCCTTACATCTTTTCTGAAATTCATAGGTATAACTTCATTGGACACACAGAATTTTAAACCTGGAAGGGCTTTTTAGTTCAGGGGCCCAGTCCCACCAGTGGAAAATCAGACAGCCAGGGAGTAGGTGGCATTCATAACTCATTGTTCGTCAGTAGTGTTTGCATGATGTTTTGAATCATCTGCTTTGAAGCTGTGGTTGTTTTGACATTACTGCCTTTTCCTTTTACCCTAAAAATCAACCATTTAGCATTCAGCTTGGTTTTTAATTATGAAGAAATGTGAAGATCCCTCGACCTTCCCAAGCTTGAGCTGTAACTATCTTCGTACCCATGGAAGCACAAAGCCATGCTGGACTTTTTTCCACAGTTACTAACACTAAACGTCTTCATGTTGTGAAATATACATATATTGCAATGGTGTTATTTATTTATTTATTTATTTATTGTGATGGTATCTTTTATTTATTTTTTTTTCAGTGTTTCAAAATTCATTGTTTATGATGGTATCTTTTAAACCCAGGTTTTTAGTGTTCCCCAGTTCTGTTATTTTTAGAGAGTGGGAATGAACCAAATTGGAAAAATATATATATTAATACATCTTTTGGATAATTTTTAAAGATGTGTGCCCATTTATTTTAATATGCCACTGGTGAATGCTCTGTGAATTTGTTTCCAGGTCAAATGGAGCTTTCCCAGAGTACCAGTCATCTGATGACACCACCCATTTCTCCAGCCATGGCAAGCCGAGGAAGTGTCATTAACCAGGGGCCAATGGCGGGGAGACCTCCAAGTGTGAGCCCCGTCCTGTCAGCCACATCACACTGCTCAACATTCCCCGAGTCCATTTATTCTACCCACCCTCAAGCCAACCATGACTTTTATGGGACCAACTCTAACTATCAGACTGTGTTTAGGGCACAGCCTCACCCCCCATCAGCACTCTACCCTCATCGTCCTGAGCATGGTCGATGTATGGCCTGGAGTGAACAGCAGCTTTCTAGAGACTTCTTCAGTGGCAGCTGTGCTGGGTCTCCATATAATTCTCGACCACCTTCCAGCTATGGACCATCCTCACACAGCCAAGATACACACAGTATGCAGTTTTTAAACACAGGAAGCTTCAATTTCCTGAGCAACACAGGGGCTGCCAGCTGTCAAGGAACAACATTGCCTCCTAGTTCACCTAATGGTATTGAAATTTTTAAAGAATCTTTCTGGGTTTTGAGATGGCAAGAAGGCAAAAATCAGACATTGAGCTCCACGTCTGCTGAGCAGCATGTCATCCCATGTGAAGTTTCTAAAGCTCATGGAATCTTAGACATGTGGAGCTTATTTCTTCCACATATAAACATGTCCCTAATTCCTGTGGTTTCTTAAATTTGCCCTTCTAAATGCCACAAATGATGAAAAAGAACTATGTCAAACTATTTGAGATCTCCCTTAATAAGTCCAAGAGAAGAATGTTTTGTCCCTTGAAAATATTTCTAGTGAATAATGTTTCTTCGGGAGAATTAGCAGCAGATCTTACAACTTAGGACCCAAACAATGCCCCTGTTAATCTGATGAAACACTTAAAGTTTAGAGAGTTGGAAAGATCTGTAGACTTCCTCAGCCCCCAAAGAAGGCTCAGTGTCCCCTCTCTTAAGTGTAGGCCAGTCCTTCTTCTAGAAACCTAAATCTGTGGATAAAATTGGTATTTGACAAGTAGTGTAGTCTTTGTGAGAGGTTAGTCATGCATTCTTTGTTTATAGAAAGATCCTGTTAATTTAGAAGAGGAAAATATATGAAAGAGGTGTAGTCTTATATCTGAAAATTAACAATAGGATAACTCCTTTGTATTTTTAAAAAGAAAAAAACCAGCATAGTGAACCATATCCATATACAAGCACGGATCCAACTCTATAGTAAATGGAGATGTGAATGTAATACCATGGTATCTTTAGGGTTCTATTCTATTATCTTGTCCCTTTTTTCCTTCTTGGAATATTCTCTGTAGTAAGTGAAGAGTACATTCTTGACGTTTTCTGTTATAGGATACTATGGAAGCAACATAAACTACCCAGAGCCTCATAGACTTGGATCGATGGTGAATCAGCATGTTTCCGTCATCAGCAGTGTTCGCTCACTGCCTCCCTACAGTGACATCCACGATCCACTTAACATTTTAGATGACAGTAGTAGAAAGCAGACCAGCTCATTTTATGCAGACACATCACCTTCAGCTGCCTGTCGAACTCCAGTAGTAGGTAAATTATTTTAGTAGTTCCTGAAAACATTTTTAAAAAGCTGTGAACCTCAGGTATGTAGTTTTACTTTGGAGGGTGACTGTTGAGGTGAACCGGGCCCTCATGTTCCCACGGGTGACCTATCACTTTGGATCTGAAGTCTTATTTTTGTATTAGTAACAGTCTTCCCAGTTCCCAGTATACATGTCACTGCACAGCCTAGTGCTAAATCTGTTATTCTTTCAAAAGCTGACACCTCTTACGTTTGCAAAAAATAAATCTAATCCATCAGATGCAGTTTGAAAGAATTTAAGTTTTACAAGGGCAGGAATGATGTCTTTTTCTCACTCTCTCTTGTTCACTGTTGGACCCAAGGGCAGTGCCAAGAGGTGTCTTTGGACCCCATAATCACCAGCAGTACCCCAAAAGCCATTCCAGGTTTAAAACAGTAGTGATTTGTGATAAAGGTTACTGTCATTTTCTCAATTAAATGTAAAATGGGATTAGACAGCTCTGTAGAAAAATGTTGTTATTTGTATTGTTCTGCTACATACAGTTTAAGTAAAAATGAGCAAAACTGTGTGTTTGCCATGAAGTCCCCTAGCATCTTCTTGCAACCAGGTTGCTCTCCTTGTGAAAACTCTGTGACATACTAGATGCATCAGCAGTACCCGCCAAGTGTCTGCCACAGAGTAGGAACTCCATACATCAGTGCGTTGAAAAAAAGGGGTAAAATATATATGTGGATATATATATATATATATGGATAGATTTAGTTATAATATAAATACATATAATATATATTTATAAATATATTATATATATTTATATATATATTATATTTATAAATATATTTATATATATTTAATATATATTATATATATATAAATATATATATGGATAGATTTAGTTTCCCGTAGCACAAGTATAGTTGCATGTAAGTATCGAGGCAGAGTGTTAATGCTTATATGCAATGGTTGAAATCTTCCAGTGGAATAGATTTCAAGCTAGCATAAGTCAAGAGCATTGACACCCAACTGAAGCATAAGGGAAGATGAGATAAATTCCATCTCTCCCCTTTCAGTGTGCTTTTCCAATAACTCAATAGGAAGCACTTCTTCCTTTTCCGTGACCATCACAGATGCTCCCTGAGCAGAGTTTAGCAGCTCATCTCATGCTATCTGCAGATGGTCATTGCTTCTAGGTTACTCTAATGAAGCAGAAAATTCCACTTCAGGAAGTTTCCTCACCATGAGACTAAAACGTACTGTGTTGCTATTGTTACTATTAGTTCTGTTTACTCGTAGAGATAGTGGAAGCTTTGCTGGAACATAGCTTGGGTGTAGGATGGATTCTAAGCTTTAGTTGTCAGAGATGGCTTACAGGTAAATAGCAAAGAGGGCTTCTGAGTGAAAAGAGGGACTAGAGTAAGAGGTAAGGAGTGCAAGGGAAGTTAGGACCCACTGTCTGTTTCCTTAGTTATAAACACTGGTTTTCAGGGACAGAACAGGTAGTTAGAAAAATGAGATAAACAGCAACGAGAAGCCAGCAACCACACATGAAGGAAATGTAGTGTCAGGGAGCAAGTTGGTCAAATTCTTGAGAATCTACTACTATGTACCAAACTTCATTATAGACATGAGTTTATAGCGGTGATTGGGATGGAGTTCTTTCTATAAGAAGTTTACATTCTAGTAAGGAGAGATAAGACAGTAGATACGTAGAAAAATGCATTAAAAAGATAATGATGGATACTCTGAAGTCAGTTAAATAGGGTAAAATGACAAATAGTTATGGAGAAACTGCTTTTGGTAACATAGTTGTGAAAAGAATCCTGAAGCAGAGACATTGGAGTTGAAAGCTGAGTAATGAGGAAGCATTGACATGAAGACCTGATGGTGGAGTTCTAGGCAGAAGAAGTAATAAGTGCATAGTCTCTGGAAGGAGAATGAGGAAAATTCAGTGGGCAGAAAGAAGGCCAGTGTGTTTTGAGCATAGTGAAAGAAAACAGAGTAAAATAAATCAGCGGACAGAGACGAGTAGTGCAATTGCTGGGTCATGGGTAGACCACATACTCTTTATCCATTCATCTGTCAATGGACATCTGGGCTCTTTCCATATTTTGGTTATTGTGGACAATGCTGCTATTAACATTGGAGTGCAGGTGCCCCTTCAAATCACTATGTTTTTATCCTTTGGATAAATACCTAATAGTGCAATTGCTGGGTCATAGGGTAGCCCTATTTTTAACTTTTTGAGGAGCTTCCATTTTGTTTTCCAAAGTGACTGTACAAGCTTGCATTCCCACCAACAGTGTAAGAAAGATCCTCTTTCTCCACATCCTTGTCAACATCTGTTTTTTCCCAAGTTGTTAATTTTAGCAGTTAATTCTGATTGGTGTGAAGTGGTATCTCATTGTTGCTTTGATTTGTATTTCCCTGATGCCAAGCGATGTTAAGCATTGTTTCATGTGTCTGTTGGCTATTTGTATGTCTTTTTTGGAGGAATGTATGTTCATGTCTTCTGCCCATTTCTTTAAAAAAATTAATATTTTATTTATTTATTTGACAGAGAGAGAGAGAGAGATCACAAGTAAGCAGAGAGGTAGGCAGAGAGAGAAGGAGGAAGCAGGCTCCCTGCTGAACAGAGAGCCTGATTCGGGGCTCGATCCCAGGACCCTGAGACCATGACCTGATCTGAAGGCAGAGGCTTTAACCCACTGAGCCACCCAGGCGCCCCTTTCTGCCCATTTCTTGACTGGATTATCTGGATGTTGAGTTTGATAAGTTATTTATAGATTTTGGATATTAGCCCTTCATCTGATAAGACATTTACAAATATCTTCTCCCATTCTATAGATTGTCTTTTAGTTTTGTGGACTGTTTCCTTTGCTCTTGAAAAGTTTTTCATCTTGATAAAGTCCCAATAGTTCGTTTTTGCTTTTGTTTCCCTTGTCTTTGGAGACATGTCTAGCAATAAGTTACTGCTTCCAAGGTCACAGAGGTTGCTGCCTCTGTTCTCTGGGATTTTGATGGATTCCTTTCTCACATTAGGTCTTTCATCAATTTTGAGTCTGTTTTTGTGTATGGTGTGAGAAATCGGTGAAGATGGTGGTTTGAACAATAGAAGAAGTGTGGATGGAAAGAGGAGGTAGATTTGGGATCTATTTGGGTGATAAGGTTGTCTCAATTTAAGTTTGAAATTGAGTTTCCTTTGTGAACTGTGCAGAAGAAAAAAACAATTTCTGGGAAAATAGCATAGATATGTGTGATCAATGCAAAAATAAATACAGATTCTTAGAGTGAATGGCACTTGCAAAGAAACAATATCAAAAATTTTTTGTAGTCAATATTCAATTGCTGATTATATTTTTCCTTACAGCATCCAGCTTGCAAACACCAATTCCTTCCTCCTCATCTCAGTGTATGTATGGAACTTCCAATCAGTATCCAGCTCAAGAGACCCTGGATTCCCATGGAAGGAATGGTAGAGAAATGGTGTCTTCTTTACCACCCATCAATACTGTGTTCATGGGAACAGCAGCCGGAGGCACTTAAAACCAACAATGTTGGGTGGGGAATGAAACCAAAAATCTCTACTGCTCAAATATTATTCACTCAGATTGCCATCATGGTAAAGAAAATGGAATATACAGTGACAGGACATTGTTTTTCAAGTCACTGATACAAAATTATGGAGAACTCCTTAATGAGTGGAGATATTTGCAGACTTTGCCTTGCACACAAATGGTTTAAAATGTGATCTCATTATTAATTATAGTTTCAAACATTATCATTGGAACCAGTGGAGCTTTGAAGATGCAAACATTTCAGCTATGAAGATTTAATATTTTGCTTCCTAATTTATTGAAAATCTATGTGCTCTTTCATCTTTGGTCTATAAAGGGAATATATTTAATGCCTTAAAATAAATTTAATTTATTAGGGTCTCAGAATCACTGTTTACTATCCCTTATTTGACCAAAAGTCAAATGTGTATGTTCTACCTCCTATGGAAATGTTTACAGGGTCAAGACTTAATTAAGTTCATTCTAGACCAAAGTTGCTTGACTTTCAATCCTGGGCATGAGAGTAATGATTTCTGTTACATAGCAATATGTTAATTCTATGTAACTGACTGGAGATTATAAATGCTTTCCCTCTTTATTTAAGAGAGATAAGAAGAAATGAAAGAAATAAAGTATGAAAATATTTTTAAAGGCTTGATCTCTCTCAGAGCTGTTACTGTTTCTGAAGAATGCTTGGGATTTGCTGGCAAAGCTCCTTTGGCTATTAAATTTAAGACTACAGCTGGTTGGTCAAAACATCAGAATTCAAGAATATTTACAAATCATATCCATGCATATAAATATAAGGAAATTGTGGCAGATAGACTATTTGAACTTCTACAGATTTGGAAGCAGTCTTTCATCAAGTACTTGGCTTAGAAACTGGGAGTGAATGAGTGTTCAGGGATCATTTGAATACAAAGGGAAATTCAGAAGTGAGGAATTCATTCCATATGAGTTAATAGAATTTGATACACCATCTATCTAGCTTTATTTCTTTTTCTTTATTATATGTCTCAGCTGAGAAGTCTGTTGTAAGATCATGGCCTGTAATGGCAAACCTCCGTTAACTTCACAACCTTTTCCTATACTCTCACGACAGGCCTTAGATTATTTGTGTCAGGGACTGTGTTATACTGTGATCTCTGGATACATTTTTAAAGGATTTGTAAGCCCCAAATACCCATTATACATCATGATGTAATTTGGTGAAGACAAACTGTGGAATTGTTTTTAGCAAGCAATAAACAATGAATTGTGGACTTGCCGGAGTGTTGCTGCCCTTTGCTCAGTAGTGTGCTTAGTAGCATGCTTAGTAGCGTGTAGTTTATGAGCTAATTAATTGAGCAGAAAAATTTTGCAACAGTAACAAATCATGAGAAATAGCCATAAATGTTCTATTATTTGCTGTAGTAAAATCGTTAGAGTACAAAAGGGAGTGAAATGAATAAGGGCTTGGACTGAAGGAAAGAACAAAACAGCTTTAAGAAATGTTTGGACAGAAGTCTTGAAAATTAAGAACAAAATTTCCATTGTATAGTAATTAAATATATATTCAGCATCTGTTTTGTGGAGACACACTGGAAAATGCAAGTTGAAAATGATGAAAATTAAAATACAAAGACAGTAAAAAAAAAAACAAACCTCTGCCAATACCTTTACTAAATTATGATGTAATGATGAAGGGCTGAGATGATAGGAAATGGAAACTCACAGAAGATTTTTGAGTTAAAAGCAGTATGGGGAATGCGATGTTTAAGAAACAGCCAGCAGCAGCTGGAAAGGGAAGTAGACCAGACAGAAGAGGAACTAGCCCAATGGCTTTTTTGGAGGCTGTTTCTCTCATCCAGATGTCCCACAGAGAAGCGCCAAGACTACATGGAAGCTAGTGAAAGGAGCAGGAGAAAGAAGGCCAAGCATCATTCCAAAGAGGCATGAACATCATTTAGTACAATCAAAGGACTGGCGACTAACTAGATAGAAGGGATTAAAAAGCAGTATGTTAGTAGTGGCTCTAAAGTTTTCCTTAACCCTATTTGCAGAGCATTACAGTGTAAATAGCTGACTGTAGATTGATAGCCTCTTTGTAGATGATGAAAAATGATCTGGAGCAGAGAGAGTGCAGAAGACATGTGAACATTGTCTCTGGGCTTCGTGTGCTCCTGGCTAATGATAAGGTGCTAAATTTTGACATCAGGAAGACTAACTTGCTATTTTCCCCATGCAGTAGTACTTGAGTTTATCTCTATTAGATGTATAATAATTTTCTCAGAGTGGGCACTATTGGTTTTAGGGCAGAACTGTTCTCTGTTTTACAGGACTGTTCTGCATACTGGACAAGATTGAGTATCTCCATCCCTCAAACACTAAATACCAAAGCAGTCTCCTCACCCAGCCTTGTGACCATTAACAACATCTTCCATATTTCCAAATGCCACTGGAGAAGCAGTACCAGTCATGCATGAATTAGAAGAATTTGAGAATTGTTTCTTTCATGAATCTAAAGTTTGGATGCTCAAGGCATTGTCTGCTACTCTTTAGGTTAATTTTAATATAGTTAAAGAATCTTGCCTAGCTTTTTAGTGTTTCTGGTTTTTTTTTTAAAGATTTTTATTTGTTTATTTGACAGACAGAGATCACAAGTAGGCAGAGAGGCAGACAGAGAGAGGAAGGGAAGTGAGCTCCCCGCTGAGCAGAGACCCTGACGTGGGACTCGATCCCAGGATCCTGGGATCATGACCCGAGCCGAAGGCAGAGGCCTCAACCCACTGAGCCACCCAGGCACCCCATTGTTTCTGTTTTTAAAAGTAAATAAATGATTCTTCAATTAATTTTTAGAAGTTGTGGAGTATCAGTTATAAAGAAGTGACCTGTTCAAGCTCATGCTTATGGGAAGTCCAAAATTAAGGTTGGAAATAAAAAAGAGGTTTATAACTTCAATTCTTGGGGTACTACCTTTCAAATCTTGTGTTATAGCAGTTATAATAGAAATTGCATAATGAAAAATGAATGTTTCAAATAATTAATTAATAAATTAATACAATTTAGGCACCAAGAGCCTATTTTATAATAGCTTGAAGAAAAATGAAAACCCAGGTATATTGTTACTATAGAATTAAAGGTCAGGAGCGATCTGGTTTATTTTCCTCTCTCTAGGTAGTACTATACTCGTAAAAGTTAGAGCTCTCCTCAGTTATATGTTCCCAAGTATGGTTTCAGCTTAGAAATGAGTTTTTAAAAAATTAAGCTAAATTCCAGTTACAGTTGTGACATAAAACCTTTCTCTTTGTTTCTGCTTTGAAAGAGAAAATTCCATGAGACCCTCAAGTTCGCCCAGATCAAGAGCCCATTTTAGAAATGGGAAGGGGAATATTTTTATTGCCATGATGTCTAAAGAGAGCAGGTGCACTGGCATTTAGTGTCAGGACCCGGGATGTGAGTATCCTGCAATGTGTGGAACAGATTTGCACAATGAAGAATTGTCCCACTTCAAAAAACCAGTAACATTGTAGGTAGACCAGTAGGCTGTGAGAAAAGGTTCCCCAAACTTTGCCCTGTAGTAGTGTTCTATATTAAATGGTATCTACCTAACCCAGTCATATGATTTCTCCAGGAACTGTGACTATGAACCTCATGCATACAGCCTAGAGAAGCAAACAAGCAGTAGAATATGACTAGAAGCAGGGAGAAAGAGAGAGAAGGAGAGCTAGAGAGAAACCAGGTTGTGAGAAGGGTCCAGCAGGCAGCAATGGGTAGGTCCCTCTAACAGGACACAGAGACGACAGGTGCCTAGAGCTAGGTCTCTACAACACCAGAGTTGACACTGTGCCATCCTGAGCAGTGAGACACAATGCCTATTTGTCTGTCCTCTGTCCTCCCAGATTTACCCTTGGAGCCCTTAGTGACAGGATCTCCATTTAACCATTCAGTGTACACCTGCTCTGCCTACACCACAGGTCCACAGCACTATGGGTTTCCTCTTCTTCAGAAAAACTTGATAAATAGTAAATTAGAGGCTCACTGGTGATGTTTTTCAACCACTGAATTTATGCTCATACAAATGCAGTCCACAAAAACAAGACAAAAAATACTGCCAATTCTTGAAAGTGAGCTCAAGTGGTGCATTCTCCCCCACCCACCCATCCATACTCCCCCCCCAATAAAAAAGAAAAGAAAGAAAAAGAAAAAAAAGAAATAAGGGAAAACTCTTTGAAATAAATGAATTCTGAAACCCATACCAAAGTTTCAACTTTTCAAAAAAAGCAGGAGACAAATGAGTATGATATTGGAACTGCCTGAAAAGGGATATTATAGGCACTCAGATTTCTTTATAACAACGAGCAAAATTAATTGTTATACAAGTATCCCATTAACAGCTATGAGCTCTTCTGAGCCCTGGAGTAGCAAACTGGTCATACTATATTTTGAAGGCAGATTTATAATCACAGGTGAGTTATAGAAATTTAAACATAAACCTTCCAGAAGAGTAAACAATAGTGATTATGGCATACAGCACATTTTGTACTTTGAGAAAGATAAGAAATGATGAGTTTATATAAAAGGCTATTTTACTATCTCATTCAATTATTGAATTCTAAATTAAATGTTCAAGTTTGTAAATGGCAGAGAACACAACTTGTCTGTTCCAAAAGCACACCGATTAAATGAAAAGAAAATAAATTTCAGTTACTCTTGATTATAGGTGTTAGCAATGGCTGGGAAAGATTGGTAGCTGCAATGAGTAATCTATTCATTAATTTTGAGATATTTCATTACAAAATAAGGTCCTATCTCTGTTCTGACTGGTAAAAGGGCTTTCAATTTTCTAATATCAAAATCTTATAAATAGTGCTAATTTTTATTGATCTTGGGCATATAATAATATGGTAGACATGTTTCTCATAAAAATAGTCTATTTCTAGAATAAGCAAATTAATATATTTGGGTTTTTTTCCCCTTTTTTTGTAGAATCTAATCCAGTTGGAGAGA